TTCTCAACAATCTGGCGCAGGGCAAATATTTGGTCAGAGGTGCTTCGACCGGGTCGGAAGCCACACTGCTGTTCTTGGATAGGCAGATCCAAGAAGAGCAGGGCGTTCTTCTTTCAGAACGTAACAGATTTTTTGATGTCGACACACCTTCACTTAAGTGATCGACTACTTTTCTGCTAGTAACTTTTCTTTTCAGCAAAGTGGTCTTATATCTGAACAGTTGATCAAATAAACAGATCGGTGAGTCTCTGAATCTATGTCAATGAGTCGATGAATGGCATATGGTTCAATGAATGAATGAAACAACGGAGGAACAGGTGAACCTATGAATAAATGAATGAATGGATAGATGAATGAATGTGTGCATGAGGAAATCTGAACGTACAGATGACTGTGGTAAATACTATGTATGAGTCAGGCTTAAACCTGATTGAAATTGGCAGGCGAATCTATCGAAAGTGTCAAAAATGGTGAGCTTCAGCTAGCAATGTAAGAAGAATGATGTATTTATGCACTACAGCTGATAAAATGCCACAAGCTATGGCTGCATTTATCATCGCCAGGACATATAGCAAGAAATAACGCAGGAAAACACTGTGGACCCGGGAATGGCTGAGTTGCACCCTATCAACTTCGGATTAAGGATATAAATACCATGTTGGTATCTTCCTTGTTAATATCGTTAATACCATGTTACCGGTTGTACTTCTTTGGTGATACCGTTTTTTTCATTCGTCCACTAACCTCGTTTTAATAGTATTGTGAATCAACATTGAAATGACATGTTTTAGAAGTACGAATTGCGAATGGCCCCCGAGATGAAGAGGTTCGGCATCGATCGCGAACACGCCACGTTTCTGTCGCTACGGAGACTGATCATCCAGACGTTCGGCATCGAACAGTAAGTCCAATAACGATGTACGACGTAAGACGACGTGTTGTGTCGCTCGCAGTATTGACCATTCATTATTGGCCACTGGTCGTATTCTGTTTAGAGATTTCATCGTTTCGTACCTGATGCCACACTATTTCGGCGCCTCACATCGCTACCTACCGATTCTGTCCGAGTGGGATTTCCGTAACGCCATTTACGGCGCCAGCGACCCGGTGTTGAAGCTGAAGGTCGACGTGAAACACGTGGATCCAGGTGAGCTCCATTCGGAGTATTTTACTTCCGGTGCTCGGTGTAACGCAAACATTTTTGCATTTCGTTTGCGTTACGTGACCTTCGTTACGATTGTTTCTCCAATGATCTGTTTGACCTTGCTGATATGTTCCATAATCGTTGGTTCTTTTCAAGGAAGCTGCGTTGTCCATGTGTTCCGTGATCTGCCTTCGGTTCGCTACCTGGAAGGTGGCGACATTACATAGCTGTTATCCAGTGTTTGTAGCTATACCACTGCCACATGGCTGAGAAAGGTTGTTTTGCGACAGTTCATTATGTGGATCATTATGAATAGTTAAGCATGAGTCCAGCGGCATTTCGAATTCGTATACTGTTTGATGTTATATGCAGCTGCTTTTGACTCTGTTTTCAGAAATCTTAATTTAATGCGAGTATCTGCTTTTTGCGGCTTTCGGGTAGTTGCCTCTTATAACAATACAGTTAAACCCTAGAATTGGTAGACCAATATATTTAGGCGCTGCAACGGGTTTGCTGCATGACCACATCATAAAATGAGGTTTTTGAATAAGCAGTGTTCCTTTCGTCCGTAGCTTCTTGACTAGTTTTATAAAGGGAACTGCTCTATCCTGCAATTGTCTGTTTATATACTTGAACAGCAGCAGTGGGCGCAAATTTTTTCAGATTATGTGCTTTTATTTTTGTTCAGGAGGAGGTGTTCAGAACTCTACTTATTCAAGGAATCACTGAAAGATGAGAGAATAATCAACAGTTCATTCTGAAGAACGAGCTGAAGGCGTGGCGTGATGTGGGCATGGTTGTGTGACCATAAGATACGAATGCTCACTGATCCAGTCACAACTGTTCCACTGCTTGCATTCAGCGCGTCTTTCATCTATGCACAT